ACAGCATAAACAGAGAAATTCCTGGGATTCTGGGCTAATAAATTATTTACACTGTGTAGAATTTTGCCACGTACTTCCTCCATGACTGTGGACAAGTTACCTACGTTTTGTCATTCTCAGTCTCCTCTCTGTAAACAATGGTAATGATGCCCATGTCCCTACATGAAATTGTGGCAGTGTGAGAGAGTGCCTATTGCCAGTGAATTCTCATGTAAAAAGGCATTCTGGTTTTTCAATCCCAAAGAAGAATTCAAGGACTAAAGCACAGTGACTTTACATACCACAGACTCTGAAAGGACAAAGACCACCTGAAAGAATAGAACACCCAAGATTTTCGGTCTCATAAAATAATGAGAATATGATAACTCAATGGCTAACTCCTATAGTAAATGAGCAACTGGTACAAAGGAGAAAGAAAGGACCATGGGGCTAACTTTTGGAGAACAGGTGTCTGTAAAGCATGCAATCTGCTAAGATAGGTAAAACATGCTCTGCATTGTAGAATTTCATTCCCTATTATAAGACATTCAAGAAATCAAGCAAGCATTTGATCTTGCTACATATCAGCTCTACAGTATGGCTTAAGAATGATGTCAAAATTCCGAGTCCACTCTTTGTGTCTCTGCCTAGCATTTACTAAACTATGCCATTTCCTTGGGGGGGGGGAAGCAATTTCCATCAAAGATCAGAGACTTCATATCCTCAAGGTTTTATGTCTATGAAATACAACCAATCAAGAATTTACAGTATTCTTTTCAAAGTAGTGGTATCTGTATTGAACACCTACAATCCTTTTGCCCTTTTCATTATTCCTTAAAGAATATAGAATAACAATCTTAAGTCACATCTCCAAATGAGACACAGGTGATTTAAGTCACACAGAAAGATCAACATAAGTTATATGAAAACACTATGTCACAGAACAGGGAGGATCTGAACATCATGATCATGCATAGTGTTCATAGAGTCCTGGAACTTATCACCTAAGGACATAAGGAACAAGTCTAATTCTCACTGGAGGTAATTCTCAAGTGTTCTGGTTTAGAAGACTATAATGACAACGACTATTGATTTGGGATTACTTTTGAGGGGATTAGGTGAGTAAAATTAAAGATCAAATTTTGCTTTTTCTTTCTATCAATAGATTGATCTTCAAAATATGTAATCTAGTCATGATGACTTTGGAAAAAAACATTTATAATTTTCTCAAGGCATCCATGAATAGGTTGATCTCCAAAATATGTAATCTGGTCATGATGACTTTGAAAAAAAATTTATAATTTTCTCAAGGCATCCATATAATACTTATTTACTCATTTTTCTCTGATAGCCTGAAGATTTTCCCATTCCCTGCTCCTTACACATAACACACAGCCTTTTGCTCACTACAATTTTGATATTTAGCCAAATGAAGGAATGTAGAGAGGCAGATACAATTTATAAAAAGGTTCAAGAAGTAGCTTTCTGTGAAGGCTCTACCTGATCGATGACCCAGAAAAACCACAGGTTCACAACTGGCAAGTGAGATAGGCAGTGTCTAGGTGCGTAGCCAACCATAAAATGAAAAGACTCATAGCAAGACAACATGTGCAACAGCCATCAGATCTCTCCTACCTCACTCCCAGCCAGCCCCCTGCCATGGAACCCTTTCTATGCTGAACTACACAGACATAAGTATGATCACACATGCACAGGTGTGAAGTTTATGGCACATTTGCCATACCAAATGGTGGACAGAGGTGTATGCATTTATATAGAATATGCATGAAAAACCTGTCTGCTGTTGAGTCAGTCCTTGGCTCGTGGTACAACAATTTTTTTTTCAACTGTATGATGGTGTGATATCTGTATTAGTGGTATCTATATTGGACAATTTCATGGGTGATACTTTGGGAGTATCAGAGTGAAGGATTGTGCTATTTCAATGAATAAGCAAATAAACAACCTGCTTGAACAACCAGGCTTCTAAGTGGAACCATAGAAACAGGTCGAAAAATAGTTGCTCCAATACTAAGACAGGTATTCAGTGCACAGCATGGGTAGAGTGACCAAAAAAAAGGGGTTACAGAAGAAAAATGATGGAAAAGCCACAAAAGACAGCAGTGCTGTGCATTCCAGATAAATAACATGCTCCTAGTGCTGGATTTACCAACACAAAAGTCTTCATTGTGAACTGTTTCTCAAAGAGGAAAAAGTACACTGTCAGTCAGTGCTCCTATGGAGTCTGGATTGGGACTGTCACAGGGAAAACTAGCCCTTCCTTTTGTTGAGAGTTTAGAAGGCCGTTGCACACACATATTGTGTATCTAATTGTATTGGGACAGAAACACTCACACTTTCATTTCCTGGGATCTCTAAATGGTGGAATTTACACACAAATTCCACCTTTTAAAAAAATGTATATGGTTAAGAGTCTGATCCTTATGTCATTTCCGTTATACCTAAACATCTTCTGAGGCTTAACTTCTTCAATATACAAAACACATACATGACTCTTAAGTTGCAATGGGGTTTTATTGCAATAAACCTATCTTAAATTGAAACTAGCATCAGTTGAAAATGCATTCCACAGGTAAGTATTGAAAACAACACAACTTAGGAACAAGTTACTCTGTAAGGTGCCAGTTGTTTGTCCTTCTAGTCATCTGGCTAAATGAGAGGTGAAGCTCACACCTAGGGTAATAACCCAGTGTGTCAAGAACGGAAGGTCCAGTAAAAAGCTAGATTGGGCAAAGATCCAAGATCAAGATTCAAAGCACAGTTTCCACTAAATTCCTGTCACGTTCACAGCTGTTGAATTGAGGTATCATGAGCAAAGGACTGGCTAGACAGCACGTAGCATTACCATGCATATTCTATCAAAATATATACACCTGTGCACGTCATTTGGTATTGGAACTGCATAGTAAGCATGTGCTATGCTTATTAGTGTTTGTTGATGATCTCCTGTATCAGCAACAGAAGCCTTCGGTATTTTTTTTTCTGTTTCTGTTTCTACTACAGTAGGAAAATGTACTACAATTTCCTCATCTCCAAAATTCATGTGACAGACTCAACATTGTATAATTTATATCCAGATCTGAAAAAAATTGACATTATGGTATATATTAGTTGCATGTAAAATTAATATTTTCTAAATTATTTGTACTTTAAAAAGTTGGGTTTATCACTGCCTTGTTCAAAATCTGTGGGCATTCAAAACCTCAGCAGTTGGACATGCTTGGTGGATAGGAAGTGTATACCCTGAGCCTCGTGAGTGCCCAGAAAGTGCTGGAACACTGGTTACCACTTTATCCCTATATATTATCATACATTTGTTGTCTCACAGAGAACAGTCCTTAGTTTAGACTTCAATAGACATTGCGTTTTATTATGGGATGGTCTATCATTCTGGAGACATAATTTCACTGGAGAGGTTTGTTTGTTTGTTTGTCTGTTTCCTGATTGTTAACCTGTGGGAAACGTGAACGCTAGTAAACATGAGCTCTCAAGAGCGGCCTAGGCAACAGCAGCCTTCTGAACTGAGACAAGGAAGTTACAGGCTAGACAAGGAAGTCACAGGAAAGATACTGGCTGGCTCCGGGACCTCACAAAACGGCATCAAGAGGAACAAAGAATTAGAGTAATTCTTTTTCTCCTTGGACACTCCAGGTTTGGCAGATTCTTCCACATCGTAAGGAAAAGAATGTGAAGAACATCTGTTGCCACACTAGCCTTTTCTTGTCACCCCACCTCCACCCCTCTCCATAGAGCACCCAAAGCTGTCTCCTTAGGGATCCTGGCTGATGAGACGTTATAGGTCCGCTGTGCCTCAGAGACGTGTCACAGACCCCCCCACCCCCCGCATCATTTTCATTCCCTCTTCATATACAAGCGGGGGAGGGGAGGGTGAAGAAGACTCGGTATGCCCTCAAGCAAAGGTTGCAACCATATCGAATGATTTGAGCCCTAAGAACAATCTGTCAATCATTCTGGGGAAACCAGACTCAAGAGTATCCTAGGTTCACCTGAAGCAAAACACCATCTCATGGGACTCCACATGAATACAGCCCCTCTCTGGTCCCTCAGGACTGTCCACGCTCGCTCTCCAGAAGAGGAACCTGCCAGATCATTGTTCTGTGACTCTGATCCAGAGTTCTGCTGCCCTTAGAAGCAGCATGATCAATCAGGCTTCTGCCTCCACTTGGGTTAAAGGCTCCTGAACCACAGCTCAGTCCCTCCATCCTTCCTACTTGGTTGATCTCTCCAGAGCACGCTCTGTCACAGAACACTTTTATAATCCACCTTATAAATAAGGAGGGGGGGACCCAGAGCACCACAGAGCCACTAAAATGAGGTGGAGATAAGACAACTGTATGTGTTACCTTTAAGGCCACGAGAGTATGTGAGTTTACAGAAGAAAAGCATAAAGTTAAGCATTCAATGAACCAGAAAGCAACACATAAAACCTGATGCAAAGTCTGATCTAAGTGTCAATTTAAAAGTACATTTTACAGACTCTTACACGCTGTTACATAAACCTTTTTTTTTTCTTTCTTTCAGAATTGACTAGGAATGGTCAAGTCAGCCATAGTTTTAATTCACCAGATATTTTAAACAACTCTGTTTTCAAGTTTCAATGGTAAAATATTAATAAAATTCCAGCCATCAGCTCCTAGCCACCAGCTCACTACTTTGTGATTTAAATCCTGGCTACGAACCTAAATATAAATCCTGGATACCTAGAAATCAACTTCTTTGCTAGACAGGAATCCAGTCTTTCATTCTTAAAGTTAGGAGACACTGTGGCTAAAAAGAACACATTTCTTAAAAGTTAGTAAAAACACAAACTAACAAGTACAAATAAATGACCATCTACAGTGTCACAGGTTACCAAAATCAACATGAAATAAAAAGTTGGTGACTTGTAATACACACACATACACACACATACACACATACACACACACACACACACACACACACACACACACACACACCACAAGTCTCTGGTTACTTACTGGGGTAATTTTGTCTTCCTCACAGCAGCGCTTGGCCTGTCTAGCTGCCAAGTGTGGAGTATGCCAGTAGCAGCTGTTTCCTTCCAGCCAGGCTGTGTGTCTTAACCAGTCATATGCACCTCCTGATAAACACCGCGCGGTGCCAGGAGGTCAGAAACTGAAGATCATTATTCTCCGCATTGGCAAACCTTCTCCTAAGCTGTGGGTTGGCTCAGCCACTTGATTAGCATGCAGGGCAGTGCATTCCACCGTTTGTTTTTCTTTTGGAGACAAATGGCCCAAGAGCTGATAAGTCACACCGGAGGCCAGGTCACTGCAAACAGAAAGCTAACCGCGTTTCCCCCCCACCCCCTTGGGGGAGTGGGGGTGGGGAGGCTGAAAATCACCACTCTCCTGTCTCACTTAAGTTCTCTCTAGGGTGTCTAGTCAGCAAGAAAACGGAACCAGGAGTTCAGCCAGCAGGTGGAAGTTGCTTTGTAGGCCAGGTGCCCGTAGAGCACATCAATCTGCTTGGTTTCATTTTCTCAGAACTCCTGGCTTCTGTATGTGTGGTTCTCTACTCAACTATGGGGACTGTCCAAAGGAAGGCAAACTTTAGCCTTCTAAGAATGTTTAGTCGTGTCCCCTCCCCCACCTGGCATACCCCTCCAAGGCCAGGGCTGCTGCTGCAGCCAGAGACAGCCAGTGGCGAGTATCTAAGGGGTGAACGAAGATCTCATGCAGTTTTGTCCAAAGAGCCAGAGGAAATGATTTCATGTGGCTTCAGAGCTCACTTCCACATAGTTGCCTGCAGTGTCAACATTCTGGGGAACCACAAGGCAGTTGAGATTGGCAGCCTGGGTGGCTGGGGAGAGAGATGATCACCTTACAGACAGGCTGCTGACCACCCTGGGTTCTGGGAAGTTGGAGCAGGTGCAGTTCTCTGTGCCGCTCACAATGGAGGCAGGCTGCCCTGCCCATGGTGTTGGACTCATCCTCCCCACTGAGTTGACTTTCTCTTCTCACCCTTGCCATCTTTCGTTCCTGAGAAAATTCTTGGAGTATGTGGTGGCTTTAGATGTCTGACCTTGAGTCTCTGACTTCTCGGAATATCTGGAATACCCAGGCGATGCTTCCTAAACTCTGTTGGAACTCACCCCTCAAGGAAGAGTGGAAATATGGCTGAGAGCCAGCTTATTTGGGAAAGAATCAGGGAAGAGTGACTGGAGTCCCCCAGGGAATTTCTGAGTCGCAATTAGTCTGCTACACTGGCAGCCTTGATTTTTAACAAGTGTAACACTCTTAGTATAGGAGCATGCATGGCCAATCTTCCAAACTTGGGTTCATCTTATAATTATTTCTAGTGAAAATTAAACCAGAAATCTTCCCCAAGAGGGGGAAGAGAATAGACTTCTCAGGTCTAAATTTTTAGTTAGTTGTGAAAGCTTAGTGTGTACATGAAAAACACTGGAAATATCAAGACCTATCAGTGAGAGTTTAAAGTCAGCAATAGAAATGAACTCCAGACCCGGGGATGCAGTGCCCTGAGATGGGTCACCCCCGAAGACTTCACTCCTGTGTGGATGACTCAGTCTCCATTCACAAGCAGAAAAGGAAGCCTGCTAATCACTTGAAGTACTCTTCTGGCTTATTTATACTCCATGTTTACAGTAACAGAAACTTCTGGACTCAATGACACATATCAGTCACTTCATCTGCAGCAGACTAGGTCAATTATTCTGATAATCTATTATGCACTACATGGTCAAAGAAAGAGAGACTTCTCAAAACTATTCAGTGACTAACTAACCAAACAATATAGAGATTCTTTAACAATGCTATTTACAGCCAAGGACAGACCCTAGTGGTACTTATGACACAAAATGTCAACATGGAGAACAAGGCATTGGCCCTTTTTACTCTGAGTCTTGTTAGGTGACTGCTGGTTCTACAATGATGTCATCTTCCAACCTTGCAGGGGAAAGAGTACTTTTCTAGCCAATTTGACTATAGGTGTCCACCATTTCCTTCAACTCCAATGGTCTTGCCTCTTCCTGGCTCCCCTCCCATCTGTCCTGATTCTCCCTGTCCAACGCACCTGTCCTAGAACCTCACACCTGTCTCCCGCTCAGCACACCTGTCTCTGGCTCAGCACACCTGTCTCTGGCTCAGCACACCTGTTTCTGGCTCAGCACACCTGCCTCCCACCCAGCACACCTGTCTCTGGCTCAGCACACCTGTTTCTGGCTCAGCACACCTGTCTCTGGCTCAGCACACCTGTCTCCCACTCAGCACACCTGTCTCTGGCTCAGCACACCTGTCTCCCACTCAGCACACCTGTCTCTGGCTCAGCACACCTGTTTCTGGCTCAGCACACCTGCCTCCCACCCAGCACACCTGTCTTCTCATCTAGCGGGGTTCACTTGCGTGGCTCCTGTGTCTTAACCACAATCTCTCTGATTTGTTGCTCTTACTATCACAGCTCAGTCTTTCTCCACAATTAAGTTTCTGGAGAAATACTTGTCTTCCTGTCTCAAATCTCCTTAAAGGTGCAGTCTGCTTGAGGGCTGGCTTCTCCTGTCTCACAGATGCTGCTTACTCCATGTGGCTGTACAACATTTTTTTGCTTCTATTTTACTTAACTTTTGTCTACATTTGACCAACTGACTATGTGGTACCAAAAATGTCCTGTGGCTTCCACGACATCTTACTGCAACTTCCTTCAGACTTCTACATGGACTTCCTTTCTACCTACCCCTAAGTATAAAAACCTTCTCTCTCCCATTCCTGTTTCTAACATGTTTTGTACATGCTGACTGACTTTCCTCTAAAATCCATATTTATGACCTCAATGTCTCTTATATTTTACCTGTAATTGCAGTCTTTTAGGGGCCATGGTAGTGTCTTAGGCATTTTTTGGTGTCCAGAAATTACTAGAACCTTGACAGGAACTGTTTGCCACAATATCCCTTTTTCTCATTCTCTCTCTCTCTCCTTCTTTCTCTTTCTATCTCTCTTTTCTCTCTCTCTCTCTCTCTCTCTCTCTCTCTCTCTCTCTCTCTCTCTGCTGATTTCAGACATAAACCTGAAGAAAATTATTGCTTTCATAACCTTAAATTATTTTAATCATGATTAAATCCTTTAATCATCATGAAAATATTTCAACCATGTTTATAAAACCCTAAGCCATAATGAAAATTTTAAATACTTAAGTGGTAAATAAGTTTTTTTGTGTATAAACGATCACTCCACCATAACCAACATAAAATCACAAATGTCTAAATGAGATAAAAGAAGAGAAGCATACAAATAAGTGATGGATACCTTTAATATACAAGCAGTATTGAGAAGCAGAAGCTGGGCAGAGGATAACAATCAATATTTCACAAAAGAAGCTGAAATGATGAATATGCATGTGAAAAAATTCATCTTCCTTACAAAGGACAAATTAAATAAAAATAAGATATCATTTGACAAACTTGACAAAAATTAAAAAAAAATAATTTCCAATGTTAGAAGGGATTTTAGAAAACAGAAACTTCTCTAGTATTCTGTCAAGAATATATAGATAAGCCCAGTGGGGTGGCACACTCCTTTAATCCCAGCAGTCAGGAGGCGGAGTTGAAGGTGGAGCTGGAGGCAGAATTGGAGGCAGAGGCAGCTATGTGAGTTCAAGGCCCATGTCAGTATAATCTACTGAGCAAGTTCCAGGACAGCCAGGGCTACACAGAGAAACACAGTCTAGAGAGAGGCATAAGGAGGAGGAGCAAGGGGGAGGGGAAGAGGGAGAGGGAGGGAAGGATGTAGCCGGTACACCATGTGAGGAAGCTAATTTTGTAACTTGAGGCAAATACTCTTTAAAATGTGATTTTCCTTTCACTCATCAGTTCCTGTTCTAAAATTATATTTCAAGGGAAGACTATGGATTGCATAACTCTGTTCTCCTTCCTAACCTCGGAGTGCTCAACAGGGCTGCACCAGTGACAGTCCTTTCACAGGACACAGTGCTATGCAGCTGTTGCAGAAGAATGATGTTCAAGTTTATTATTTACCTGGGAAATACCTGGTATTGGGCAACAGTTTCTTCAGAATTATTTCATTTTCCAAGAAGATGTATGTGAACATAGGAAAAATCTCAAAACAAATATCGAAAATTTTAAGACAGTTTGTTTGATTGTCTCAGAGAGTTAAGTACACTTATCCCTTGGCCCTTTTCTGTTGTTGTTTATACACAATATTTTAAAAATCTCATGGAAAACTGGGGCTAAGGATGTGGCTCAGTTGGTAGAGTGTTTGCCTGAACTGGATTACGCCTTTAATCCCAGCACTTGGAAGGTTGAAGCAGGAGAAACCGAAGTTCAAGGCTATCTTCTACTACATGAGGAGTTCAAGGCTAATCTGGGATACATGGGATCTGTCTCAAAAAAAAAAAATCAAATGAGAGAGAGAGAGAGAGAGAGAGAGAGAGAGAGAGAGAGAGAAGTACAAGAGATGGGAAGTGATCTAGAAGATACTAAGCAGAATATTTGACAGGAAATTGCTAGAAGCGATGGAAGCAGCAAGTTGTGTGGGCATGGGAAGAGGAGAGAGAACAGATATCTGGCCTGAGCACCCCAGATTCCACTTCTGAGGCTCCCTCTAGCACTTTGTGCCAACACTAGGCACTCCTTTGTGTAGAGATTCCCAAATGTCCCATCGCAGATCTGGGAACAGAAGGCACCATCTCCCTGGCCACTACCTGACTTGTGCCAAACTTCCCTACAGGCTGTTCTGACTTGATAACACACCACCTGCTTTTGGCTTGAGGCACGGACACCAACATGTATGTGCCTTAAACCCACCCCCATCTCCCTTTCCTTGCAGGGATTTTGGATTCAGCGTTGCTTCTCTCTCTCTCTCTCTCTCTCTCTCTCTCTCTCTCTCTCTCT